TTTCTTTCTTTCTTTCTTTCTTTCTTTCTTTCTTTCTTTCTTTCTTTTTGTAACTCCTGAGTAGGTTTAATTAGTTTATTAAAATGTTAGTCTTTCTATTTCTTTTGATCAATTAAATCATCTGGGTTAACAGCGCTCTGCTGCAATACAGATATGCCCGTTAACTATTAGAATTCTGTGTTCTCTCCTTTCTGTCTCTTCTCTGGGCCTGTTGCTTGCCTGATTGCTATTAAGAATCTGCTCTAGCATTTTGCTTTGCTATTTGCCTAAGGCCACAGTAGTTGACACCATTTTGTGAAAAGACCCCATTTTATTCAGAACAGTTTTCAAAATGTCTTTGACTAGGGGTGGGCTCTCATGTTACTTGTAATAGACTGTAAGCATGTGCCCCAAAGGCTAAATCAACACACTCAGTGACACAGAAATAATTGTCTACCAAAAAAACCAATACATTGCTACCTGCTGCAGTAATCTGTAAGTGCTATGTGTGTTGTCAGGGCAACAGTCCTATTCTATGGATAGCCAGAGTACAGAATATGGGCAAGTCTGTTCCTTTCTCTTAAATATCAATGGTTCTTGCTCTTTCAGAAGTACTGTACTTAGCTGTTATCTTGTTTGTTTGTGTGAGATGTTGGTGTCTGTCCTTGTGACCAAGTAGATACACTTGACAGAAATGATATGTAATATCCGTTATTAAGGAACTACAGTCGCTTTAAATTTAATGGCTACAAGGAAGTTACACTTTTACATCTGACTCTTTGTCCAAAGACCGCAAACAACCTCTTTTAGAGCAGAGAACTGTCAACATGCAAATGGATGTTATTCCAATTGAGATATCATCTAGTGATGAAGTTCCGTTGCATGTTGAAAAAATATATCTACATTAATATTATATATTTAATATAAAAGTAGAAACAAAATGAATTGAAACAGTGTCTAAATGAAATGTTTTTACCTTATCAAAACCAAATGTTTTGAAATTATTAAAATAAAATGAGAATCTAAATGATTTGTTTGGAGACTTCCTTGTAGACAATGGTGTCAAAAATGGACATGTTCCTGTGGAACGTTTCAGTTTGACAAAACTGCATTTTCTGACGGGGAAAGTGTTCTGTAGAAAAATACGTGACCAACTCTGGTCCTAATACCAAAGAAGGGGTAGGTCAGCTCTTTCCAGCTTGGATGTTTAACATTAGGCATCTAACTTTGTGTGTAGGGACCTACATGAAAATGATTTTGGGGGTTTTGAGGGCTGGTTTTCATTGCCTTTGGTGGGAATTAGCACCTCTTGACCATCTATTTCGGAGCTTTCATATGGAGTTTGATGGCTACTTTTATACACATAAATGTTGCGCCTTAATATCTAGAGAGGTGCCGAGGGACCTCACACTTTTACTTTAAAAACGGTCTGGTGTGTAAGCCAGGAGTAAGATAGAGAGGGGGAGTTTGTCAAACAAACCATGGTGCGGGGAAGAGGGAGGAAGCAAAAGGTGAAGGCAGTATGCTCTAGTGGCTAGAGCTCTGGACTGGGACTTAGGGGCCTGGGTTCTATCCACTGCTCTGCTTGGTGTCATTGGGTGAGTTGCTTCCCCACTCTGCATCTCATTTCCCTATTGCTAAAGTGGAGTTAATGAGAATGACCTCCTTTGTAAAGCACTTTGAGGTCTACTATCAGCACTATATAAGAGCTAGGGGGTATTGTTAAGAGATCAAGCATTGGATTTTGGAAACACAAATGACCTTTAATAATGTGAGAATTGTACTCGCTTGTTTTAATGCATCTCTAACTACAAGGCTGTATCCCCTCTCGCGAGGCTGCTACCCAGACCTCAGATTAGCCCTGATCTTATGCAGCTTACCTTTGATTTACTTTGAGTTTCCCTAGGATTTCTCATGATAACTGGGCTGTTACGTTCATTTTGCAGTTACTGTGTTAACCAAAGTGGGATTAAAAAATGATCTGATCTCTGGCAAAAGGGGAGGGACTTTTCCTGGACATTCAGAGATACAGGGCAGGCGGATTTTTCTTCCTAAAATGTGCTGCCAGGATGCTAGTTGAAGAGAAGCATAACCATGGCAAACAGCTTCCAGCTGCAGGGAATGCACGGCTTTCTGCAACCTGTGCCTGTCTCCTAACGGATTAGAGCAGGGCAGGGATGGCGACAGCAGCATTAATTTCCCTCCTCCTACATCCACTTTGCACCAATTCCTCTGACCCCGTCTCCCACACTGAGCAGAGAGCGGTTAGTCACCGCACATGGCTGTGATGAGACTCATTGCTTAAGTCTCTGGAATCCTTTTTGTCAGCTTGTCTATCAAAGCATCAGTCCTGCCTTTTAAATACAGGCTGTCCTTTGAGACAGGCCTATTGTTAGTGGTGAGCGTAAAAAAAATCATCAGCCAGTTATGCCTGTTACTTTGGAAGGTGTAAAATAACCCCAGCTTCTGTCTTTTCTCCTCGCTGTGTATTTGTTATGTATTGTTCAATTTAGAAGGACCCCAAATCTCTACCACTTCCCCTCTTTGTCTTCTGCATTGACCCGGGGGTGGAGGGGCAGTGGTGATGGGTATAATGTTATACCCATAGTATTCAAGCTAGGGTCAAAAATGGATTTTTATAAAAGAGCAGCTGAACAGAAAGGCTGGGCTCGTACTTTGGCAAGAGATAAAGGTCAAGCTGGCTTGGCCTCTCTATGGGAACTCAGACTGCCAATGCTCTTATGACTCCTTCACATGCCCCTGATTATTAAGGATGGTCCATATACTATAATAATCAACTCTGACCTTCCCCTCAGCACTTTTGAGCACACCTTTGTTATGCTTTGGGAAGCTTTAGGTGACTTTTCCTCCTCCTGCTTTTCATCTTCATGCCCCTCCTTCCGCCAAGGGGCTAATTGCTGTCACCAGGGCCGGCTCTGGCTTTTTTGCCGCCCCAGGCAAAAAAGCCTCCGGCCGCCCCCCTTCCCCCCGCGGGAGCTCGGAGCCCGGGGGGGGGGCGGCGAGCCCCGGCGGGGGCTCCGCTCTCCCCCCGGCGGCCGGGGGGAGGGCGCCGGGAGGGAGGGCGGCCGGAGCCCTGGG